TACAGATTGGAATGTCGAGAACATTGCCGGAAACTTACACAGGGGAACACTGCGGCCCAACGCAAATGAACAGGATTTTGGACGAAGAACTGAGAAGAAAATTACGCTGGAAGAAACGAAAGCGTGATTTACTGATGCTTGCTAGGTTTACTTGATGATTGGAGAGAGTTTAAATTAGACAGTTATTGAACCAAATTCTTCGAGAGCTGAAAGAAATAATATTTAAAGCGAACAAATTCAAATGATTGAAGCCCGAAGTTTCCTTTTCTATGAGGTGATTTCTTTCATTTTTGTTTCCTTACCGGACGCAATTTGGGCAGTTTTCTCTACAAACCAGGTGGAGACTTGTCCTCAGACCCCACCAAACGCGCCTTCATGTTTTTCGAGTAGTAGGACAACTGAGTAATCCTGACACCCTTCAGAGACGATTCAAAACCTCCTGAAATCGGCGCGAACCTTCATTCTCTAGACAACGACAGGTAGTTTATGCAGAGAATGTTGAGATTGAAAAAAGTGGAAGTGTGAAGTATGTTTATTCGTATGATCTTATAAACTCATCTTCTTTAGCTGATACGAGGTTGGTATAGGTCTTCGTTGTCGTTGTTGTTGTTGTTGTTGCCGTTGTTCTTGTTGGTCGATGACTGACGTTTCGGCGATTTCGCCTTCCTCAGAGCCGTGATGTTACGAGTGGGACCAACCTCGCATTAAATAAAGAAGATCAGTTTATAAGATCATATAAATAAATGTGGTAACTGTCTATACCGAAGTTCATAGAAAGTCTGCTTCTGAGTTATTATGAAGTGTGAAATCTTGGTAGACTAAAAATTTTGCTAGACTGTAATGTATTTTAAACATTCGGCCCTTTATTTTAGCACCTTGTCACCTTATCCGTGTCCAAATCATTCCATAAGCACCGTAGGATGGTTTCAGTGTTTTTGCTGAGTCCCGATTTGGTTTGTTCCTTTTGCAGGATTGGACTGTAGAAATTTACTACATGCATGATTTTACGGTTTTTGTAAAATCACTGTCTTTTTCGTAGCTTAAATTTTACGATGTTATAGATTCGCCAAGTGTTAGTTACTTCTCATTTTAAGGAACAACAGCTTAATGGAAAGGACAAAACCTTAGGCGCTAATTAGTTCCTGAGTGTTGTACCATTCTTTTGATTCCAATGTGCACTGCAATGGTGGCGGCATGCATATTTAGCCAATATAGCACCTTACCGTTATTTGTCGGACTATCAAATCAATGCTTTACTCTTTCAGACCACACTAGCCTCAATAAACTTGGCTTACTGGCTGCACACGATCGAGCTAATTACCACGTGTATGTTGAAGAGCTCCCCTAACACTGCTACACGCGTTCGATGACATCTTTATATGGTGTGCAAAAAAAGTTAAACCTCTCGGCGTTGATCTATCTCTGAGGGATGTGTCATACATTCGACTTCATTAAGCGTCGTTGGAGGTGATTGAATGCATATCTGGCCTATACAATGACTCGCGGTGGCCTACCAATGTATCAGTCAGTGCTGCTATCATTCCAGAATACTCTGGTACCAATTTACCACCCGGAGGGATGGGATGAAAAACTTGGTGACCCTGAGGTGTAGGATCGATTCCATGCATATTGTGGGGCGCCTCTAACTACTGCACTACTTGGGCTCCTACAGTGTATAATGAGCGATTTCTTCTTCCGATGCTGTCAAAACTCGTCTACAACTATGGCAGTATGGCGGTGTTATTTGGCTGTTAGTATCTCAGAGATACGTTCAAGTCTCGTGATCTATAACTTGGGACTCTGTCTTACTTCATTTCTAGTTGCAAAATTTTTTCGTAGTCATTGTACATGTGGTCTTGTAGAGCTGGCTATCCGTTCTGTATACTGTTTTATAAACAAAAAAAAAACCTTTTTCATAAAGTGGCCAAGCCGACTCTCACGAAACAAATTCACCATTGTACTGCCGTCGGTGCCTCTTGCATGAGCCCGAGAGCTGTGACGTGAAGTATTGTTGCCTTCATGCTTGTTACATAAACATAAAATTAATAGAATAGATGCTGAAATAAAAACTAGATGACTTCGGAGGAATCTCTTTCACAGGAAACACTTCATACTATTTACCGTATAAACTGAAGAACAATGACGTAGAATGCATTATTGCCAACCAAATAATACTCATAGTATTTGTACTGAAAATATTGCTAGAATTTCACGTTTGAATCGTCGCCTTCTCGCCATGGGACCACTTAGACTAACATCGCGATGATAACAAGTTTTCATTGTACGATGAATGCTTGTCAACCCTATCACTGCAGTTTTCTTTAGCACTTTTGAGCACTTACGTGGTAGTTGTAGGGCGAAGATGCTAGAGGCTACACCACAGCCTTGAGACAGCACATCTAAGAAATGAGTGCTAGTAAACAACCGATCCGAAGATTACGTTCATGTTCAAAGCAATCAACGGATATCAGTGCTATGTGTTCGGTTTATATCGTAATTTTATTAGATGCGTATATGAGTCGTTCCCATGTAATGTATGAGTTCCAGCATTTCTTCTATTCTTGTCTTCCTCTCACTACCTCTTGTAACCACTGCGTATGACACTTGTTCTAAAATAGCAGAATGATTTAGTCACTTTTTATTTACTTTTTTATTATTTTTATTTTATTACTACTTTTTTACTATTCTTTTTTCACGGCAGGGTATGATGTGAAATACAACTACAATGGTGCTGAGATATTAATTCAATTCAATGCCGACTTGTGCTTCCAAGACCAATCCCAATGATGGGTGATTGTTGATAAATAAAAAAATGCTTTCGGCTTTCATCAATCCTTGAGTGATGCGTCATGCATTCGACTTCATTAGGCATCGTTTGGAGGTGATTGAACGCATTTCTGGCCTTCACAATGACTAGCAGTGGCCTACCGATGTATCGAGTCAATGTTGCCTCCCAGACAAGTCTGGTACCAATTTGCTGACCGCGGAGGAGTGGAGCGATGGAACGCTAAGTTGGCCATTGGCCCTAGGGTGTTGTGGTGTCTGTGTCTGTGTCTCTTGCAGGGCACCTCTGACTACTGCGCCACATATGCTCTTATTGCTGATACTTACTTACTACCAGGACGGTGGTGGATCGTGGTATTGGTTTACTTTTAGCTTGGCTTCCTAAACGCGGGACTCATTCTCAGCCTGCGAGACCCTGACGGGGGACGAATCCCCCGCTGTACATCGCAGTCTGACACCCAGGAACAGCTCCCAGCCACTATGAGGCAGTAAACCGTTTGGAGGCCTTATTGCTGATAGCACCTATAAAACACGCCTAAAAGAAAGGCGATACGAAGGACGCGCACGGTGTGGTGTTGAACACGTTAAGCCTCAGAAAGGGTAATAACGAGGTTCAATCCCCGCTTGAGACACCTGCAGTCCTGAGTTTTGCAATATATATATTTCAGCACTACTGTAGCACAACAATTTTAGAGAACGAAATATTTTGTCTTATGCTGTAAAAAATGTATCCCTTACCTACACAGTTGTGTAGTACTCGGGAACGGTTTACTTGTTTTTTATTTATCAAAAACGCTTGTGTTTTGTATTCATGTACAGTGGTCAAGAACAGACGGCATGGTAGAGCATCTCGCGTGGTAATGCCTTTGGAGTTGTGACATGGTATCGTTCAGTACAACGTTCTGAGTACTTAGTAAATCGAAATAACTTGGTAATCTTTATTGCATAAGATTTATATATACGAGGAGCTGAACAATAATTACTCCCTACAAGAACTCCGTACATCGAATAAGAGAAGGCTACAAATATTTACGCCAAGCAGTCGAAGGTGAGCCGGACACGTAATGCGAATGAATGACAACCGATGGACAACAGCCGTTAGTGACTGGGTTCCTCGGGATGTTAATCGCACTGCAGGAAGACCACCGACCCAATGGTCAGAGTTCTTTACGAAAAGCTTGAAGGAAGAAATGATGCTGAACGAGTTCCTAGAGCGAGCATAACCTACTGGGCTACTCTTGCACGCGACAGGGAAAAATGGAAGATTTACTGGCGACCGCTTGGGTCACTCGACGATCAACGGGACTATAGGTGATACAGGTGACAGGTGACACTAAGCAAAATCCACTCGGGTCAGACCAGTAGGTAGAGTTACGCTTCAAAATAATGTTTCAAACCTAAATAAGGTCTCTTTCAAGCTACCCTTCATAACGAACGAGATAAATTATGCCATTAAGATGTACCTAGAAAAAACTGGTCTTGAAAATTCTTCGTCGGTTAACGACCTCCCATCCAGTGCCCTGCACTACCAATTAATCCGCCACCACTCTTTGACCTTTCGTGTAGCTCAGAATACTTTATGATCTGTCCTAACGGAAGAGATGAGGATTCCATGAGTTCAGGTACAATATGCCTGATCACGTGTAAGGCATGCAGTGAGGAATACATTGGGGAAACGGGTAGACCGCTTTATGTCCACATAGAATAACATCCAGACGATAAAGTTAAAAATCGTTAACTCACTCCTATAGGTACACATAGTGCACAAAAGCACAATGGCGATGATTTTAAAGTGACAACGCGGACCTGGCGCAGAAATCAAAAACGTCAACTAGTAATACTCTTGAAGCGTTCTGGATAAATCTCAAAAATCCAAAGATGAACCGAAAAGACGAATGCCTCACTATCACACGTGACCTGGCGCCTTATTTCAAAATTATATTTTGACCTTTGGTTGGGTCTCGCTCGCGACACCACGTGAGCAACGCGTGGGTCAGTCCTACTCGTAACATCACGAGGAGTGGCCTTCCTGTTCAATATGGCACTTATTTGAAAGTTTGATCGTCATTGATACTATAAATATTTCACCGAATATAGGACTACTGCTACATGAAATACTTCTAGGCTTTGAGGAGGGCGAAATCGCTGAAACGTCAGCTATCCACCAACAACACCAATAGCAACAACAAGAACATAAAGTGTTTATTTCGAACATCTTACTTTTTATTTCGACCTTTACCGTTTGGCTGACAGAATTTACAAGCTTTAGCACAGTGTTCGCTCATCAGATTCTTGTACTTTGTGTGATGGCAAAGGTCACTGTGTCTTGAGCACTCAAGCATGGTGTCGAAGCAGTCGACTAAACGGAACGATGTGGAAACATTTGTTTCTAATTTTTATTCTGAAGTTTATTAACAAAGCTAGATCGACGCTGTTTATTTTGCTGTATGAGTCTCATAACGGAATTGACCTTGGTGCTTCATTAACATTCACAACGCGTGACATCTATAGGTCTCATAATCGTTCTCTAGGAAACTAGATCGAAGCTATTTAGTCTGCTGTATGAGTCTCACAAAGGAGTTGGATCTCGGTGTTACACTAAAATTCGCGATGAGTGACATATATAGGTGTCATAGTCATTTTTCAGGAACGGTCGGTGTAACACCTATAGGTCTTATTTTCTTGCGGTAGCATATCTTAACACGTTGACCTGCTTTCGTGCAGTTTTTGTTGTCAATTGATAGCTTGAAGAACAGAGATGTTGTGTTTGGCTTTACTTGGGGAAGGTCTATTCTGCACTGAGAAATGCTAAAAAGTATGTACATTTCAGTAATATACATGTACTCTACACATATTTGTACCAGAGATATACAAATCTCTTTCGATTCTTATAGCTGTAGTGAATGGCAGTTGTCGTATAGAGTATGTGGGTGCAAAAATCCTGAAATGGAGACCTATAAGCTGCAAGGCACTTCGAAATGCTAACGGTAATATGCTTGTATGATACCGTTAAGTACGCAGTCAGCGAATACGTATCAAACCTTCTAATCCTGCGTATGGTGTCATATGTCTTGCATGTTAGGGCAAAGCATCTCGCTGTGGAAAATAGACCACTTGCCCATCATCACTTTCCCGTAATCTGCTTGGGAACGCCCCAGCTCTACTTTCACTAAAATTGCACAGAGAATCGACTCGATCAGCATTAAACGGCACTCATGAAGAAGGGGACAATCCTCAAGCAGCAGCCAAGGCAGCACGTAAAATCTTCCAAGGTCTTTGTGGACAATAAATGCGAGGAAAACAAACCGATTACAAGAGGTGTTGGGATCAGCAAAGTACTTGTAATAACTGGTTATATAATAATAACAACGAGAAGTTTATTTTCTAAAACATTTAACTGAAAGCAATAATTAGTTATGTTTTTTGGACAGTGAGTTCTTAAACTTCAATGAGGTTGTTTCTTAGATAATACTTTCGAAGTTTGCTCATAATCCTTCCAGTAGTGTATTGTCTCATTGTGATTAGGATGTGACTGGGTGTCGAAATGTGTAGTATAATGGGAATTGATCTCTCAGCAGCTTGTGTTAGGCTGAGAACAAGTTGGACAATTCCATCCGTAATCCTAGCTAGAATAAAGCTTTACAAGGAATTGGTAGTCACCAGCAGTTAAATGAATGCGACATGGAGTACCCAAATAACAGAGCTATTTCGAGGAGCCAGGTGACGAAAGCTTTAGAAATTTTGCTTTACGAGCAATCTGCCATTCCAATGGACATTTTGTTGAGGCCACAAGATTCTTCGGATTCTTGAAAACGTGCCGCTTAAGTGTTAAAGCACAGATTTGATTATCGCAGATCCCAATAGGGTCATAATCAATCAGTGTTGTATCACTTATAAGCTGTTGTACTATAAGATATGGTATTTCCGAAACATTGTAATCTTGCAACTGCATCATAAATCTTCTCGTCTATTAAACCCAAAACAGTGCTAGATTCGATGATATGACGAGGGATTAGTTAAACTGTTTCGCTTATACATAAAAAGCATAAGTAGAAAGTCCATCTTAGCTGATCCCATGATATGGATATAGTTATAGAGTGATTAGAATAGCATAATGGTGAACGATTTTTGGTTAGTGGTACAATTCCAGAAGCTACGGATGTAAAGAATTATCAGAGATAAGCCTTACAAAAAGGATAGACGTGGTATCGAAGAAGTAGTTACGAACCTGATCGTCTTTTATCCGTTTTTATCCACATTCTCGATGCTCCTTTAATCTTTTAAAGTCGCTCGTATTTCTTTCTTAATTGGTTAGGTAGGTCTCTCACCAAATTGACTTCTTGGTCGAAATAAACATAGTTTAAATATCCAAAAATATTCGTTGTACATAAGTGTGGGCTCTCACGAAGAAACTCATTTGTTCTGGAATTCGACTTCTGGAGATTCAACTGATGACAAATTGATGAACGGCCATCGAAATTAGCCAGAATTCATTCTGTCTGTGTCCAGAGTTTCTGAGAAGGATATCATCAGCAATGCGAAGATGGTGTAGCCATTAGTCAATGAATTCCTCACTGGTGCAGCACTTCGCTGAATTTTCCTTACTGTCTTTATCGAAAAAAAAGCCATTTAAATGTTTTCGCAAGTGGCATCACCTTGTCGGACTCCTCTCTTTATGTTGATGACAGTGAACTCTTTCAAGATGCATTTCTATTCTGAAATTTCTTCATGGTTCATTCCAGAAGAAAGTGTTTAGATTTGTGAACGTGCATGGATGGCCCTAACTACTGGGATAAAGTAGAACTTCTTACAGTATTCGGCCAACTCATTTATTGTTAAATCATGTTGATTAACATTAAAAAAGCAACTTTATTCTATTTCATATTTTATATGACCCATCTTCACGTCCACTCCGCGCATACCAGCACCTCTCACATTCTATTCGTTTCCTCGTATCCATTGTCCACGACGTTCCACCTTTACGTGTGATTTCGGTTGCTGCTCGAGGATTTCCATTTCATCTCGAGTGTCGTAGAATGCTCGTTGAGCAATTCTCCCTCGAGTGCTGAGATAGCCGGGTTGGAGCGTTCTCAGTTGGATTGCAGAGAATGGTTCTTCCCACACAAGTGCGGTACCAATTTTCTGACCCCGGAGGGATGACAGGCTTGGTCAGTCCTGAAAGGAATCGAACTAGCACCATGCCTAGCACCATGCTCGTGATGACTGTCATCACTACCACTGTGCTATCCGCCCCTACAACAAAGATAACGTAGTATTCACTTTTTATTTGCTGCTTACTACAATTTTTTATGGCAAAGTATTATGCGAAATACAAGCACAATGGCGTTGAGATATTTACTAAACTCCGGACCACAGGTATCTGAGGTGAGGAACGAATGCGCTATTGCGCTTCCTGGGGACTAACACGTTCGCCATTACACCACATTCGCGTCCTTCGTTTCGCCTGTCTCTCAGCTAGTTCTATCGATCTCTGCGATCAGCAGTCACCTGTGGAAGAGAACACATTGAGAACTCACCTTTGGTTGAAATTTTTTCGTATGAACCACTTGCAGACTCAACTTCAGGTGCAGTACTCTGAAAAGCAGAATTGTAGTACTCATTCGGAAGGATGTCACTATTACAATAACTTTCTGGGCTCTTGATGGCCATCGAATTCGTGGTGGAGAACCCAACTGTATTGGTTCGTTTTCTCCACATTGTCAAGTAAACATAGTAGCGTATCCAACATCTATTGGCAGCGATCAGTAAAACGTAAATTATATCAGCACTATAGGAATTACTGTTGAATTCATCACCTCCTTGAGCTTCAATTTTCGAAGTTCATAGGATTCTGTTGATGAGAAGAATGAGGAGTATTTGATGGAAGTCATCATTCCGTTTTCGATCTACAAATGTCTATTCAAGCTATGCTTAACTACACCCCAGTGACCACTACGTTTTTGAACTTCACATACCGTACTTGATGGTCTCGTCGATCTTTTTCTGTTTTTTAAATACTCAATAAGTAGTCCATTTGAATTTGGTCGCCTGGATGGTTTGTTTTTCAAAACACTGAAAGTTTTTCAATCTTCATAACAGTCATATTTTCGAAGGTGTTAACGTTGGTGATGAATCTTTTCTTCTCTATGCCATTTCTATAGTTCTAACGCTGCAATAAAATTGTCTTTTCTTCTGTTAATTAATGCAAATTTGTATAAATGAGTATAGAGGATAAAGGATAAAGTTCTCGGCGCTGATCAATCTCTGAGGAGCTCGCCATGCATTTGACTTCATTAAGTATCGTTACATATCTGGCTTTTGCAATGACTCACGATGGCCTACCGATGTATCGAGCCAGTGCTGCTATTCTCCAAACAAGTCTGGTACCAATTTGCCGACCCCGGAGGAAGGAAGGCATGGGCGCGGGGATCGATTCCATGTGTGTGCCGCAGTGACGCTTCCAACCACTGTGCCACACGCGCCTTTTTTTATAAGTGACTATATATATACATATATATATAATATATATATTATATATATATATAATGGAAAAAGATAGCACAGTGGTAGTGATGACTGTCATCACGAGCATGGTGCTAGGCATGGTGCTAGTTCGATTCCGCATCTGGCCAACCAAGCCTCTCTTCCATCCGAGCTCGGAAAATTGGTACCGGACTTGTTTGGGAAAGAAATCACTCTCTGTAATCCATTTGCGAACGCTCCAACCCGGCTATCTTAGGCCTCTAGGAAGAATGGCTCGACTAGGATTCTAGGATATTCAAGATTAAATCCACAACTAGCAACAAAACCACAGTTGAATTTGAAACATCTTCGTGAGCAAAGGATGCGAGCAAACGAATCGAATGTGAGAATCGCTGGAATCCGCATTGCAGACGTGAAGACGGGTCTTACAAAACGATATAATAATAATGAAAAATTTAGCAAATTGTGTGACATCCTGTGCTTGTGCAGCTTGTGGTTTTCGAACTAAAGGTCATACAAATTTGAGTGGTCTCAAAGCTGTGAATCCAACGGAGTCTCGAAATTCTGAGTGTTTTTCCAGTAATACACCTGTTGCTACTCTATTTCTTTTTAAATCTAGGAAAAAATAGAGGTCTTGACGCGAATGTTATCATTTGAATCGCTTATATTTGATACGCGTACGGAGCAGTGATCGGAGGTGCCCTGCAACATAGACGTGGAACCGATCTTCGCGCCCAAGGCCCACCAAGCCTTCCATCTCTCCAGGTTGAGCAAATTAGTACCAGACTTGCCTGGGAAAATAGCAGCACTGACTCGATACATCGGTAGGCCACCGCGAGTTATTGTAAAGGCCAGATATACATTCAGTCACCTCCAAACGATGCTTAATGAAATCGAATCCATGGCGCACGCCTCAGGGATTAATTAACACCGAGAGCGTTTATCGCTTTTTATACTTGCACTTGACACCCATCCAGAAGGCGCGCGTTAAACAAGGCTCGTTTGGAAAGATAATTATGTTTTTTTAATTACACATCTGCATCCGCTTTCGTTTTATTAACCTATTAAACCTCTTTTTCAAGTTCTCCCTGTTAGGTCAGCTTTCACTGAACAATTTCGAAACGTCAACGGACTCACAGAATACCAGACATTGGAAGTTCTTGTGCGTTCCACACGATGTGAAAGCGCTTATCGACTACGTAGATTCCAATTTTATGGAATGGCATGAAATCGCTTCAGACAGTTGAGATCTTTTAAGGAGATTATTCCGGCTAAAGAAGAAGAAAACGA